GCCCCTACAAAATCAATACAAAATTGCCCTGCGCAAACTCTCACAACTTGTGATTTTTCTTTTTCCTTTTTCGCTGACATCTTCCGTTGGCATCAACAGCACTGTGGAAGCAACCGGTGATATCTTAAGTCGGCATAGATAGCTCTGTCACCGTAGAATTGATCGGTCTTGCAGTATCTTCCGTTGGCATCAACAGCACTGCGGCGAGAACGGTTAATTACCTATCCAAGTCTCGGTCGAGAAGGGTTTCTGAACCCTTATTGGTCGAGGTCATCTCATCAGCCTTCTCGGCGAAGTGAGGTGTTACAGTGATTACATTCGGCACATTGAAAGCCGAATTTGATATTGAACTTCGTAAGAATAGTAACCTTGTCTTCAGGTTCGAGAGCCCAAGAGGCCGAGACGTGTTCCTTTCTCGGCCGCAATCGTAAGACGCAGAAGTCAGTAGCGCGACCCAACGCAACATCAACAAATTTACTCCTCGGCCGAGCTCGGCCGACGAGTTGGCACGCCCCGCATTCACTGAAGGACGTAGTTAGCTCATTAATTACTCGGCCTGCGCGCCACGTAGGCTTTGTAGTTTCTAGGGTCAACATTTTGGCACGCCCGGTGGGATCCAGTGCTAATACTACGAAGTTCATATGATATATCAAGATTCCAATCTGGCTCAACGTAGCCGATTGTACGAGCTCCTGGAGGAATTGCAAAAACATAATGAGGAATGTAAAAAATCTTTGGAAGCAGAAAAAGTTCTTCGTGGCCATAGAGAGATGCAAAAGTCATTCGCTTGCATGTTGAAAATAAAAGCTCATGTTACCCTGCAAGGGCAATGGGTAAATGAAGACAGGGCTCGATTTAATGCCTGGCTAGATGAAGAAAATTTTCCTTATGTTTCTGATTACAGATCAATTCCATTTGAAAAATGGTTAAGTCCAAAGGCCGGGGGGCAATTTTCCGCTCCGGTCGTAATCAGACATCGGCCTAAGAGAATTGTTAATTTGGCCGAAGAACAAAGGCCACCTATTTTTTCGGTCGAGACTGAAAGTGTGGTAGGCCTAGATGGAAAAATTCAAGTTTTTGAGCCACAAATCGACTCAGAAAATAATTTGTTAAAACAATGCTCCAATGACGAACGAGGCCGAGATATTGGCCTAGCCCAAGAAACTACGCCAATTGATATGATTATTGGCGATAAAGTCGATATGGAGAAATCTCATTCAGCCAAGTTATTTGAATTAAAAGCCGAAATTATGCCTAGGGGCATAATAATTTTTTAACACATTCGGCGACCGATAAAAAATATTCCTTCAAGCCGAACGTATTTGGAGATGATCTTTTATTCGGCTTTGGAAAATGTCAAAATGAAAATTTTGATGTAAAAAGATCTCGGCTTGGAATAAAACATCGTTGGCCTCCTCCTCTTGATAGCTCGGCCACTTTTGTTTTCTTTTATTAAGAAAATGAATAAATTATTTTCTTAATCATCTGGCTAATTAAGCCGATGCATAAGAAAATAAGGGGGCCAACGGAATAAAAAAAAATGTATCGATGCATAGAGGGTCTGTGGTAGTTGAATGATTGATCAATACCACATGGTTTCGTGGTGTTGTTGCACTGTACAGCCAAGCCCCAGGAATAATTTGTAGATGGCCGAGTAAAATAGGTTTTTATATATAGGCAGACCGATGTCTTATTTTTTTTATTTTTTGGTATCGGTCTCGACCTCGGCCACTCTACAAAGGCCTCGGCCTCGACCACCTCATATATAAGCCTTGGCATATATATATATATAAAGGAAATGGGAGATGCTCTCGGCCAAAACTATATATATAAAGAAAATGGGGGGTTGTTTTTAATGAAGGCATTAGAAACTCGGTGGACCTCAATTTGAAGGAATGGGTTTGACTTTCAACGGCCATGTGGGGCCGACATCATCATTTCATGGGATATATATATATATATATATATATATATAGTTGAGGAGAGAAGCAGGAATGAAGAGTGAAGGTGATTCACGGATTCGGTCAAAGAATATGGTTGTGGCCATGGGGTGCTATTCTTCAGCAAATTATTTATTCAACCGAGATGACTGATTTAGCAGAGATGAAGTCGAGAATTTTATGTTCACACTTGCTCGGCTGTTAGTCTGCCGAGTAGTGTATAAAAAAAGAATGGCTTTTCGACAATTGTTGATAAGTTGGTGTATAGTCTTTCGGCTGGTGTATTCGGCTAGAAAGACAGGAAAGGTAACATCTTTGATAGGTGACAGGCCGAGCTGCCAGGAGTGGTTTGCCTCGGCCCCTATTTTTCTCAACTCTCCAAAAGTTTTTCGACCTCAGCAGTCGAGAACTACGGCAGGTTTTTATTGGCTGTGAACAATTAATTTCCTTAACCTTCAGCTTACGGGCCGAAGATCAAGGAAACTGGGGGGCAATGTTTGGACCCGATTTTACATTACCGGCCCAAGTAATTGAGGCCGTTGGATGAACGGATTCTAGACTATTGAATTTTAATATTTTTCTAGGTATTAATACTGAATTTGGGCGATCTCCAAGAAATCAAGAGTTTAAAACGGAAGAGTCCAGCTTGAGATTGAGATTGGTATCATGCATGTACGTGAAGGATTGGAAGACTATCTCCCATGCATTTATGCAAATATAATGGAGATAAAGATGGGATTAGATTATCATTAGCCAATAAAGGTGCTTGGATAAAGGTGCTGTTTATTTTGAACTCAGGCACGGGAAAATATGGGATAAAAGATGGCATATGCCATTTTATCCAATGTGATCTTACCTGATGACTCGGTAATTGTTGATTGGGATAAAGATGGATGTGGCTTATCATCAGAGATGGTGGGATGTCCACAACTTTAATTCTCCAGCACAGCTAAGAGTTTTGATGTTATAAATACGAGAGCGCAAGCAACATCAGAGAGCCCCTACAAAATCAATACAAAATTGCCCTGCGCAAACTCTCACAACTTGTGATTTTTCTTTTTCCTTTTTCGCTGACACATCTTCCGTTGGCATCAACAGCACTGTGGAAGCAACCGGTGATATCTTAAGTCGACATAGATAGCTCTGTCACCATAGAATTGATCGGTCTTGCAGTATCTTCCGTTGGCATCAACAGCACTGCGGCGAGAACGGTTAATTACCTATCCAAGTCTCGGTCGAGAAGGGTTTCTGAACCCTTATTGGTCGAGGTCATCTCATCAGCCTTCTCGGCAAAGTGAGGTGTTACAGTGATTACATTCGGCACATTGAAAGCCGAATTTGATATTGAACTTCGTAAGAATAGTAACCTTGTCTTCAGGTTCGAGAGCCCAAGAGGTCGAGACGTGTTCCTTTCTCGGCCACAATCGTAAGACGCAGAAGTCAGTAGCGCGACCCAACGCAACATCAACAAATTTACTCCTCGGCCGACGAGTTGGCACGCCCCGCATTCACCGAAGGACGTAGTTAGCTCATTAATTACTCGGCCTGCGCGCCACATAGGCTTTGTAGTTTCTAGGGTCAACAGAACGTCATCCCTATTATTGAACTATCAGGATCCACTACCGCATAACTCTGTTATCTTCACTCAAAAACAATTAAACCAAGAGATCAGCACACCAACCACTTGACCCAAACGAATGCCATTTTTTTCTTCTCACAAACCATACAGGTAACGCCTTAACTTCACGATTGCTACTCGAGCGGTAGGTGGATCATTAGGTTCTATTGGGTATCCGCAATCGGTCAATCTTTAGCACGCGCCTTCTCGCAGCTTTACAGGTTTGTGACCTCTTTCTCTCATCCATTTGTACAAAAATCAAGGATAAACTGTTAACTATGGCAATGTGGCTTTGTCTGCAGGCTATGCAAAAATTTCCTGGGTTTTGATGTTTTTTTGTTGTTTTTTGTGTTGCACTGGCATGTATCAGTTGTATCGCAGCTTCTTGCTATCTTCCGTGCATTATTACACTTTTATATGCTATCGCAGATCAGGTATTTCTCTTCTCATGCCCAGTTCCTCTCCCAGACTCTACACATCTTTTTCCCTCTCACTTCCTTAATCCCAGATTCTGCGATAGCAAACTTTATTTACCAAATATAGAGCAGTCATTGAACTGATTCAACCACCCATCACCTACCAACCCACAACCTCGAAGAAGACGACTAACTTAGCACAATGGCGAGCTGTGTATACTGGAAAGAGAGAGAAGATCAATCTCATTAAGGAAATGATAGATGTCAGACATAACAGAGAAGCAACTCAATCAGAATTCACAAATGAGAAGAAGAGAGGAACTAAGAAAGTTTTAGCATTAGGGTAATTTAGTCTTTTGAACATCAATTGTGGTTAGTATTATAATAATTTAAAACAGTTGGTCATATTTCAATACGTATACTTTGAAATGACTATATTTTCAAATTTCCTTTCATCGTGGGCGCGTGAGGCTCTTCACCTTAATTTAAAGTGTTAATTTTTTTGTAAGTACAATTTTATCTAAAATGAAGAAGGCGAAAATTTACATCTACAAAATTCACGCCAATTTTCAAACTTGGTCGTTGGACGGTTGGACCGCCGTATGGAAGTTCGAACTCATGCATACTGTCGCGAAACTTGCCGCGAAAGATCCACTTCCCCAGCGTGACCTCAACACTCAACATGTTTGAACACTCGCTCGCCCATGCTGTAGCCTGTGGGGTCCCATCCTCCCGCATCAGATTTACCCCACCACCCATTCCGGATTAGAGTGTGGGCCTCACTCGTAACGCCGCGCACGGTCGGTGCATGGATTTCCTCGTCCGTCATCGACGCAGTCGCCCCCACCAGATTATCGACAGCGGAGCCTAAGGTACACGTGTCGCGACGCAGATCGATGAAACCCCTTCTAGCCAACAGCAACTGACGACCGAGATCTTTTGATGGACCTTACGGACGACCCAGATTATTTTAAAAATATAAAATATCCAAGAGGGTTTTGCTTATAAAAGTGGAGCAAACCCCTTCGACTCCGCTAACTTGTGTCCCATTCCAAAATCAAAAGCCTTTGAGAGATTTTTGAGTCCTTATCTGAAATCCTAAAAGTATTTCTGTTGTGCAAATTTCGTTGGAAATCCAGAAGGGCAGAAAATGGGTGTTTTGGATCATTTTTCGAATCTATTTGATTGCTCAAGTGGGAGATCCAGGCTCAAGAAACGCAGGCAATTCCAGGTAATTCAAGATTTTCCTTTCAAAACTTTTATCTATTTTTTTTTTTCTGAAAGAACAAGATGAAGCGACGCATAGCCAAATCTCAGTACTTTTTTTTCTGAGTTTAGAGATCCAACAAGTGTTTTTGTCATTTTTAACTCCTTTGAGCTGGATTCTACTGTCTCTGTTTCTTCAAGAACAGTACCGAGTAAAATCCATTCTCAATCGCCACGTGTACAATGTCTCGCATACTAGTTAACTTAAACGTTCAACTGTTTTGTTTTGATCAGACGGTGGAGATCAAGGTGAAGATGGACTGCGAAGGATGCGAGCGGAAGGTGAAGAGATCGGTGGAGGGAATGAGGGGCGTGACGCAGGTGGACGTGGAGCGCAAGGCCCACAAGCTGACGGTCGTCGGATACGTGGACCCCGGCAAGGTTCTGGCACGTGTCGCGCATCGGACGGGGAAGAGGGTGGAGTTCTGGCCCTACGTCCCGTACGACGTCGTGGCGCACCCTTACGCCGCCGGAGTGTACGACAGGAAGGCGCCGTCCGGGTACGTGCGGAACGTGGAGGACCCGCAGATGGGGAACCTGGCACGTGCGAGCTCGACGGAAGTGCGTTACACCACGGCGTTCAGTGATGAAAACCCCGCTGCCTGCACTGTCATGTGAGGTGTCACTTTGCACGTGACATTTGTGGAATCGACTTGGAATTTTGGTTAATTATTTTGGAGTACGCCAATGTCATGTGTTGTTGCACTTTTTTTTTTTCAATTTCTTTTTTGGTTTGTTGATAAATCAAAATTTATGAAATTGGCTATGTGTTGGTCTTTGTATATCAAAGTTGATTATAAACTAATAATATGCCTAAATGATTACCGATCAAAAGTTAAAAGTTTGGATCATTAAACTTAAACACAGTATTATAGATTAAGTGGCTTTTTAGTTAAAAATAGTTCCTGAGATTTAAATAACTCATTACTTTGGTATTTGAAATTTGAAATCAATAAAAGTAGATCCTGAGTATGTACACCATCAATTATTTTGGTCATTCCTTGAAAAAAATTATATTAAATAAGGACCAAAATAATAAAAATACCTTTAATTTAATAAAGGTCTAATCGGATAAATGGTTCCTGTGGTGACAAAGTAATTGGAAGATAGCTCTCGTGGTACAAAAATTAGGTTTTAAATCCTCGTGGTATTAGTCCGTTAACAAATTTAGTCCAAAAGTAATTTTTCCGTTAAATGTCAATTAAATTTAGGGATAAAAATGTACATTAAAATCAAATGATGGAAGCTCAGTAAAATTAGATCCAATTCAATTCAAATCCGATGTATTCATGCAATGCAATCAAAGATCGATGCCTTCTTCAAACCCTCTTCTTCTTCTTCACCCAAACCAGATGCCCCACCTCCGCTTGTTAACGATGGAAACGACACTTCAAACTCTTTGTTTTTGTTTTACGCAGTAAAACTAAACTTGTATTCCTCGCCAACACAAAGACAAAGAGGCTCGCCATAAAATAATAATGGCTAGGTTGTATATTGGCTCCATATATTTATGAATCAAATGATGAACATAATTTAGTCACGAATTGGACACTTGGGAAAAGACGCAACACCAACACTGCCACTCCTACAAGCGAAGAGCTCCAAACTCGTGATGGTTTTTTTTTTTTTTTGGGTTCTTGAATCTACAAGGACAAAAATAAGAAAGAAAATACATTCATTTAATGCAACTAGGAATTGTAGCAGAGAGAGTAACAGTGTTTCGGACGCTATATGTTTGATCCTGCGAAGTGTATGTAATAGAAAGACTAGAGAGGCGAGGAAGAAGAAGGTGCACAAGTTAAAGTACATGTCTACCCTTTAATTAATAGACATTTAACGAAAAAATTACTTTTGGACTAAATTTGCTAATAGACTAGCACCACGAGAGTTTAAATCCTAATTTTTTTTACCACGAGGGCTATCTTCCAATTACCTTGTCACCACAGGGGCTATTTATCTTATTAGGCCTTTAATAAACAACGGGCCAAATGATTTGACCAAAATTGAGAGTATAATTGTCATTTTAGCTTTATTTAAAGGAGATTTTTCATGAAATGACCAAAATGATTGATAGTGGACAAACTCAGAGATTACTTCTATTGATTTCAAATCTCATGGACCAAAGTGAGGAGTAATGCAAATCTTAAGGACCATTTTGACTAAAAAACCTAAGTAAGTTGATAACATCGTGTCAGCAATGGTGGAGCCAGTACATCTAGAAGTGGCCCAACACACTCTCTTTATTTTAGAAAATTTTGGCATATTTAGCTTCGATCAATTTTTGTTTGAGTCTTAAATAGTGTCTTCCTCGTCATCCTCATTCTTCGAATTAATCCACAAACTCGCGATCTAAACTTGTGATATTACGACCCTCATAATAAGTGAGGGATTCATAAATTTTGCAAAGTGATTTTCAAATTTTTCTTCGTCTTTCTACACTATATTTATTTATGAGTGTTAATTAAATTAAATAAATAAAAAAATGAATTAACGGATATACATATATAAGAATGTGTAAAAGAAGCAAAAAATGTGAAAATTATTTTCTAAATTTTTCATTAAGGCGAGACAAAAATAGAAAGGAAAAAAAAAATTTCTCCAATAGATAGTAAAAATAATATAATAAAAAAGCAATTGTGTAAAATCATATGGCAAGCTTCAAAGAATAAAATAAGAATAAAAAAGAGAACCAGGTTTATCAACCTCTCTCGCTGCTCCCCTACAGTGAACTCCATTGAAACACCGAGCCCACGAAAAAACTCAAGGGCATACATACTAGAATTTTGAACCTGAGAAAAAAGTTAGGGTAGGTTTGGGACCAATCTGATTTCTTCATGACTTTGCCAGTGCATGTCGACGTGTTACGTCGACACATTACACAATAATTTTGGCCATTTGCATCATTCCTTTGTTGAAATATTTAAGAATGATTGAAAGGAGGTGCGCAAGTTGTTTGCCACCTTAGAAACACACAAGGCACTTGCAGCCATGATCATTACTTAATTGAAACGAGCAAAACTTGTATGGTAGCAATTGCAGATGGCACTTCGTTATCAAGTGCTGGAATCCAGTGTTTAAATCATCAATTATCATTACATCACTGACTTTAAACTAAATTAATATGCTTGACGAAAGTTAGACGTAACCTTTTATCTAAATTCAAATATCGTCCCAAATAACATGAGTCATCGAAATTTCTTGAGGATAATATTATGCGATCGACTTCCAACCGCCCATATCTTGGGGCTCAAGTTTCCGTGCCCCCCAAGCCAATTCCGCTCAAGACCAAGTCAAGCAAGCCTTGTAGCTGCTAATATAATATATCTATATATATATATAGGCGTGAGGTACTAATTTATGTAGATAAATAGATAACATTGTATGGTAAAAAAAAATCTTGGTAAGATTGTCTAACTCTGACGACTTTCATATCGAGTAAAATCAATGTAGAACTACATAGATAAAAATTAAAATACATGACGTCTTATAGTTGTGTAAAAAATATTCAGTTTCACTCGTAAATCACATACACTAATCTAACCTTCATTTTCACATCTATTTTTTCTTCTTCTACAATTCTACTCTTTCACGCAATAAACTACCTCACGTGAGCAACTTGTGGTGTTAATAAATTTTTGTACCGAAAATGGCAACGGTTCAGTCTAAACTTGTGGTGTTTATAAGTTTGAAAGAACAAGAAAGCTATATAAAATTTGAACAACTTTGTGCCATGTTCGCCGTCAAGCCAATATAGTTGCTCATTGGATAGCTAGGTTCAGTCTAAACGTTGGCAGCCATCTTGAATGGCTTGACCACCCTCCTAGTTTCATTATTGACCTCCTTGTGGAGGATGGTCTATGTAATTTACCTTGCACTGCCCCTCGCAGCTGTTCTTAGCCTAAGAATCAATCTGCTACTATTGTTTCTCTCAAAAATAAAAAATAAAAAATAAAAAACACAACTATGAAGAGAACATTATCCTTCAAACTATACTTCACAAAAATGCTAGTTACCAACTATCAAGTACCAACATAAGAAAATGGTAGCATAAGTTGTTTGTGAGTCACGTACAATTGTTGACAATTGTAAATCTCATAATGGGTCCTTACAAAAATGGTTTTCCCTTGTAACCATAAGAAAAATATGGGCTTCTATTGCTGGGCAACAAAAGAGACCCCATACAAATTAACCAGCCCAGATACATGCCCATCAAAATAACCAATTTTCTTCCCCGTTCCCCTATAAACCCTTAGACATTTCCCAACGCTCTCTTGAGTCCCTCCTTCATTCAGACCAACATTTGGCGGGAAATCAGAAAGAAGCGGAAAATGCGAAAGAGCTCGAATTGACTGCCGCAGCCATGGCGGAAGACCAGGACCAAGAATCGGCTGTCTTAGAGGAAGAGTACACGGTCTGGAAGAAGAACAGCCCTTTCCTCTACGACCTCATCATCTCTCACCCTCTCGAATGGCCGTCTCTCACTGTCCACTGGGCTCCCTCGGCGCCGCAGCCCCACACCGACCCATCTCTCGCCGCCCACAAGCTCGTTCTCGGGACCCTCACTTCCGATGACTACCCCAACTTTCTCATGGTCGCCGACGCCCTCCTACCCACATGCCAACCCAACTTTGGCGCCATTTCGGAAAATGAACCTGTGATGCCTAAGGTACTGAAAGATCGGTCCTTTACTCTCATTTTGGAGAAATAATTTCTCGTTACCAATTATTACTTATAATTTCCAGAATATGAAGTCGGTTCTTATTAATTTGAAGAAATGAATCATGGGTAATCTCATGCTTTGAGAATTATTTTGTGGGTACCAACTGTATGTTAAAATTTCTAGCAGCAAATGCTTAGTGTGGTTATAGGTGGAAATAACGCAGAAGATTCGTGTCTTTGGGGAAGTGAATAGGGCACGGTGGATGCCGCAGAAGTCGACTATTGTGGGTGCAAAGACCAGCGGTGCTGATGTTTATGTGCTTGATTGTTCCAAACAAGGAGGAAAGAAACATCAAGATGAGGCCTGTCATCCTGATTTGAGGTTAAGGGGCCATGACAAAGAAGGGTATGGCCTGTCATGGAGCTCTTTGTAGGAGGGTTACCTTTTGAGTGGTTCATATGATTGTAAAATCTGCTTGTGGGATGTTTCTGCTTCGGCTCAAGAGAAAGTGCTTGATCCAATCCATGTTTACGAGGTAAATTTGGGCTATAAACTTGTAGTTCTTGATAGGAGTTTTTCGAGTTTGTACTAGGTGTTCAGTGTTTTTAATGTGTGAGTTGTGAATGTCCGCTTTTTGCGTCGCGAAAGTGTGGTTGGAGATGTTTCATGGCATCCGAAGAATGAGAATCTGTTTGGATCCGTTGGGGATGATTGTCAGTTGATGATATGGGACTTGCGCACTAACCAAACACAGCATTGTGTCAAAACTCATGAGACGGAGGTGACCGCAACTTTAAACAATGTCATCTATATGATTGTGGCTTTTCAATATGTTTGTAAGATTTCACCTTCCGAGTTACTAACCCTTTTGAATTACAAAAGTACTGAATAGTAACTTATGTCATTGATTTTGTACCTGCTGAAAAAGAAGTATTTCGTCTATGGCTTCACATCTGGCACTGTTCTCTAAATTTCCTTTCTCATTCGTTTGATGATCTCAGATAAACTCTCTTTCTTTCAATTCATATAATGAATGGATTTTGGCCACAGCATCTTCAGACACCACTGTTGGTCTGTTCGATATGAGAAGGCTGACCATTCCATTGCATGTTCTGAGTAGCCATGGGTAAGCTTCCTATGCCTGCTCCTTGTAAAATCTATTATACTACCATCATGTTTTTTCATCGAAGGTACCGATATTATGTTAATGGTACATACTCTCTATGATGGCACGGTTGGCAAGTTTTTTATGAACTCTTTTGGGTTTGAAGTACAAAACCAATATCCTGTGTTTGATGTTTGAGTAGCCTGATTCCTGAATCTACTATTTACTAATTCTCAATTAGTTGTTTCAAGTGAGGCAGTTGAGTTTACAGCTTGTCTGCACTTCCATAGATTCTCCTGAATCTACTATTTACTAATTCTCAATTAATTGTTTCAAGTGAGGCAGTTGAGTTTACAGCTTGTCTGCACTTCCATAGATTCTTAATATATTGTGCAGTAGAAATTCCAAAACTCGGATTTTCTATGTGCTAATATAATTAGATTTTGAACCCAAAATTTTGAAATTATCAATGCATAGTTATGTATTTGGATACAGTTTCTCATGTCAAAAGAAACATATTATTGGGGCTTCATCATTTTTCATATATTCACGTTTGCAGGCCACAGCTGGTAAACCAAGATTCCTAATCCTGTATTTGTTTCTTCTCTTGCAGGGAAGAGGTGTTCCAGGTTGAATGTGATCCTAATCATGAAACCGTATTGGCATCCTTCGCTGACAACAGGAGGTTGATGGTTTGGGACCTCAACAGGTACTCGATTTCACAGATTGTTTTTGCTAGAAATGCTATTGTTTAGGTTCATCTTCTAGGTTATGTTCACTTCAACATGTTCCATTTGACTGCAACGGGATTATTGAGTTTATATCTTAGGATTAAAAACTTCAAATTTGTGGTTGTTTTACGCGGTGATGCGTTTTTAGGGTTGGGGAGGAGCGGGCAGAGGGAGATGGCGATGATGGACCGCCAGAACTTCCCTTCGCACACGGCGGTCACAAAGCAAAGATATCAGATCTCTCGTGGAACAAAAACGAGCCATGGGTCATATCAAGTGTTGCTGAAGACAAAACTCTTGAGGTTTGGCAGATTGCTGACAGCATATTTGGCGACGACGATGTTGTGCAAGTCCAGCCTTCCAATGTCTAATCAGAAAAACTCGACCGTGAACTTGAAGATAATTTTCGGTTCTCTTTGTCCTGTAAGAAGCTCTTGTTAGGAGCCATGTAGCTTAGAAATTACTGCTGTATAATCGGTTTGGCAAACTCTAATAAATCTTCAACTAGTTTTCTGTTCATTCTACATCCATAATCAAGAAACAATACGTAGTATGGTGCTACGAGGATCTTATAGCTTACTTGGTTAAATCGTTTGTTCATTTACGCTTCAGGGTGGATTAGTGTGGTTCCACCACGCGTAGGACAAAAGCATATTAGCTAGTGATTGCGAGGCTCAAATTCTTGGCCCGAGGAGACGCCAAAGGTCGTCCCAAGGTTATTCGACGTCACTCCTCAATTCGGCTGGTAAACTTCCGAATCTAAAGTTGTTTTGGGACTTTACATAAAAAATGAAGCATCTACTTTATAAACCATGGCCCCTTGTCAAAAGCAAAAGACATCCGACTTGAGTTTTCTGGGACTGTCTCATCCGACTTGAGTTGGTAAACCTGAAGCGAAGGCCGTTGCTGTCCCTGTCAGGAAAGATGCCAAACATCTCCCTTTCTATGAAGGCCACATGAATTAAAATCTAACAATCTTCTTCCTAGCAATTACTCTCAAAATATCATCTTTTCCATCACTTTGAATCCTTTCCCCTCATTTACGAATCAATCATCTGAAAATAACAGAAATAAAAAGAAGAAATTTTATAATGTTCGGTCCCTCGTGATGAAAATCAGGTTACTGAGATATCACGATACACCAACTCATGGTATGGATGAAAAACAACCGTACGAAATTCACAATCAGTTTAATGGGTGGGTTGGTTAGCATACGCACATTCTTCTCATCATTTGACTGACCATCGAAAGGCAGGCAATCAACCTACAGACATCCCCGTCCTTGCCATCGTCATCTTTACGCCAATGGTGGAAATAGGGTTTCCACTGACCTTCGCAATGGCCAGATGGCAGATGCATCACTCAAAGGGCAATATACTGTGAAATTTGTCCACTACTCACTCACCAATTGTGGATGACATGAATCAATTGAAAAAAATTAAAAATTGAGCTAGAACAAAAAGCTTCTTTCCCGACAGAAATGTAAACTTTGTTCCTTTTTACCAAAACCCTAGCTCTTTTAAGTTATTTGGTGCAGAGAAACACTAAATCAACACTCACCTGCTCACAGCTCATAGTACTGAAACATGAAAGGAATCACATGCCACCTTCTCTATGTTCTGTAATTCAGCAATCAAGAATTCACGTGGCTTAGAAGGAGAAGGAATGACCATATGAGAACTACTTATAGCAGATTCAAATGAAACTCGGCAAAACAACATGAGCCGGAAGTAATTTGGCTGATATATCAGTAGCCTAAAGGTAGTAGAAGGATAAGAGTCAAAAGAATTTGAGTTTCACAGAAAACCGCTAAGTTGCTCTGCCATAAGTTTCACTGGCTACACATCATCTAAGTTTACAGCACTAAAGGACATGCAAACTTAAATCAAACTTGAAGGATACTAGCAGTGAATCCGGCAAAACTTCAGCTTGACATCGATAAACCATACCCATTACAAGGACCAAACATATGGTTCAAGTAATAGAAAAATTGAAAAAAATAAAAATAAATACAAATCGACCTGAACAAAAGCTGATGCTGCAGTTCGAAGAACTACTTATTGCATGATGATATATGTACTCTTCAGGACAATGTCAATGCTTCCTTCCAGAGTTTTTCAGTTTGATGCTGCGGCTCGAATCCTTCCTAAAATGACAGACCATAATAGTCAGTTAAAAGATTGCACACTTCCAAGTTCCAAACAGCTGTTTCAAAGTCCATTAATTTCATGGACAACAAAAGAATAATCTTCAGCAACTCGCACGGGAGAAAGATAATTAGTAAAGTAAATACTACTGGTTTGGTTCATAATTAAGTTAGGTCACAAAGGGTTCATGCATATTTTGCAACTACGAAATTATTATGGATGATTTGTTTTGTTCATATATACAATGATTTGCCCATCTACCTCAATGAAATTAATCCTTTGTAACTAGATGTAGTGCCCAAGAACCATATATATGATGCATACACAAAAGACTTACGAGACAAGTTCTGTATATAAAGATTCAAAATTTCTCATGGTTAAAATTCAAATCCTACCTAAAATGCTTACAAAGAATCCAACTAAAACATCAGAACAGGCAACAAATATCAGATAACATAAATTACTGAAAAGTTAGAAAATAACTCCGATTAACCGACTGACAAATGCAAAATAGTCATAACCATAAGCCCACACAGTTCAAAAGATTAAGAGATCTAATGTCTTACTTTTCCTCTTGCTTGTGCCAGAAGAATTTACATTGGACGCCCCATTTCCAGGCCCACATCCAGGAAGCTCCTTGGATCCTCCATCCTGATTAACCAAACACTGAAGACTCTCAAAATCACAGCCGTTAAAATCCTGCCCATTCATCATTGCACCATCTCCACATTTCCCATCCATCCTTGGATGAGGGCAGTAAAGCTGATCATCATTACATGGATTCATAAAAAAGGCATTGGGCAGATTTGGGTTGGGCAGGCTCGGATTCACTGATTTCTGATATGGAAAAGACCCAATTTCTCCTTCAATCCTTCCTCGAATGTCAACAAGCAAACACTTGAGCCTAGCAATCTCAGCCTCCAATGCAGGCTGACCCTGCAACCTCATCACCAACTGCCGATTCTCAGCTCTCAAATTGACAACTTCAGCCTCCAACAACTTAACCCGCGCCTTCTTATTCTCGCGGTACTTACGAACTGCTACCTTATTACCCAAAGGCTGCTTCTTTGATTTCTTTTCCCCAGACTCACAAGTATCATCAGCCTTGTTTTCACTCGCTGAAGACACAATTTTAGTGTGGACATGAAAGCAAGTGTGTGTGTGGGAGTAATCGGGGCCAGGGGGGTTGCAAGTGTGGGTGTGAGTGCAAGCGTGAGTGTCCTTAAGCAGGTCATCAAAGAAGGTGTCCATTGAACAACTACTCGCAAGTTCACCGCCCATGTTTGCAGGCGAAAACACCTCCTGGTTCGAAAAATCAACCTCGTGGTCGTCCATTAGGGCAAAGAGCAAGCAACAAGCCCCAATCAAGTGAAAAAGCACCTAAATCTCCCGATAATCTTAACAGATGGAAACCAGAGAAACCCAGATGGAAAATTGAGCTTCTTGATTCGTGTTCTCCACGACCCAGATAAGATTTGAACAATACAAAGTCTAAAATCAATTAGAATTGGCTGAAAACCAAAGATTTCCAGCGCGGACGAATAACAGAAGGGACAATTCAAAGGGGTAAATTGATGAAATAATAGAACTACTCAACCCTAGGGAACAGAGAGGCGGTGGGAAAGGGGAGGAAAATACGATAAATATGAACATACCAGGGACATGGATTGGCTAGTGGTTCACAGTTTCCGCGGACTTTCTCTTTCAAAACTGAGTCGACTCACTTCGGATGTCCTCTCTCTCAGAGAGAATGTTTTATCGAGGTTGATCGTGGCCCTTCATTTGGCGATATCATGCGGTGAATACACACCGTTTAGGATTTTTCTTTTTGCGCAAAGGAGTTGAAAAAATAATTAGGTTTAGCCCCTAAGTGTTAGAACATACGTATTAACTTCGTAAGATTTTTAAAGTTTGAACCTTATAAGTTTTTTTTTTTTTGTCAAAACATAAACTTTATTACATTCTAATTGAAACGTTTACATTTTCAACAATAACGTTAAAAAGAAATTCAAGATCTAGGACATCTCAAAAGAAAACACCACTATATACGATGACATATGAAACCACAACGTGAACAGCAAGATTACCACTCCGTTTAACAAACAAGAACTTCACCTGCCCTATTTGAGGTGCCAAGGACTTAATATCATAAATGAAACAATCCAAAGTGGCATCCACCGAACAAACTCCTTGAATGTGAGTTTTATAGTTAAACTCACTTCTTTCTTTTCTCTCCCTCCTCCCCTCTCACTCCAAATCTATCTCTCTTTTCTTCTTTCTCTCTCACCCTTCTCTTTTTTATTTTACCTTTTTCATCTCTCCTCCAATCCACTCTCTTCATTCTCTCGATTCTTTCTCCCACTCCTCTTCCTCTCTATCTCTTCCGATCTTCTCACTTCTTTCTCTTTCCTCCAATCATCTCTTACTTTTTTTCCTCCTCTCTCCTCTTTCTCTCTTGACCCCTTTTTTATGGATCTTTTTGTCCAATTTAAGTTGTAAAATTTAAAAATTTTAAATCGCATACCAAACAAGTTTTTGAGTCTTAAAGAAAATTGTTTTTAAGAGAAATTCTTAAGAAATGTTTTGAAAAATTATAAAAATTTTCAAATAGTATACCAAATAAGCCCTTACATTTTTAACAAACGTTAAAAAGAAATTCAAGATCTAGGATATCCCAAAAAAAAAACACCACTATATGCGATAACATTTGAAGCCACAATGTGAACAGCAAGATTACCACTCCGTTTAACAAACAAGAACTTCACCTGCCCTATTTGAGATGCCAAGGACTTAATATCATAAATGAAACAATCCAAAGTGGCATCCACCGAACAAACTCCTTGAATCATTCGAATAAGAGCAGGAGCATCTGATTCAATCTCCACCTTCTCACATCCCAATTCCCTTCCCACCACCAGCGCCGCACGGACAGCAGCAGCTTCTGCCATGGCTGCACTGTGAAAAAAACCTCCCCCCTCCCCCCTCCCCGCCAACCATCTTCAACAAACCTGCAAAATCTCTCAACACATATCCGTAACCACCTTTCATTGATTGCCCACACCATGCCCCATCACAATTGAGCTTCAACGTCCGATAGTTTGGACGTTTCCACCTCACCTCTTTCCCCGCAAAAACCAAATGGGTAGCAGCACTATCACCCACATCCTTCTTCAGTTTCTTTTTTTAATGCTTTTAATTATTTAAAAAAAATGATAATTTTTAAATTTTTTAAAGTTAAATTAATCTTGATCGTTGAATTTCAATATTCACTTATTATCGTCCTATAAAGTAATAGGGAAAACTTTCATCATCCAACAAGCTACAAAATTTCATTCTCTCATTTGGTGATTATGTTGAAAAACCGAGTTTCTGGCAAGCTAATTGAACAAGCTGCATGTTTTCATCCTCACACTATTACTTCTATAATTTATTTGATGAGCTTTTATGGGAAATGATTTTATTCGAAATGCTTTTATTATAAACATCATGAAACTTGCATGCCGTGATCCTAAGCTTGAGCTCGAAAAAAATTATACAAACCAAGCTTAAGTATAGTGATACTCAGTTCGACTCGGCTCGTTTACAGCCCTAAACACAAATCAATGTCTTGGTGCATGCCGTCCCTCCCGCCGGGTTACTTGTGGAATGGTGTCGGTGGACAAACCCTAATACAACTGATTAAGGTAGGTTTCCTTTATTAATTAAGCAACTTATTTTTCTCATGGTTTTTTTTTTTTTTTTTTTTTTGTCAAAATTTTTCTCATGGTATTTTACACGGCCAATTTTTGTTACACAACTAAAATTTTGTTTCTCATAAATCTTAATCCGCAAGTGGCACTTTACACATATAATACACATATAAGACATTGAGAATGAGTACTCAAAAGATCAAAAGCTTAATTTGTGTTAAAAATACACAACTTTTCTAATTTTAGTGTATTTGCACTGGTGGAAAGATGTTGAGCCGTTACATGATAGCATGGGTTCAAACCCCGTCGGTGGCTAATCTAACAAAATTTATCTTTTGACAAAAAAAAAATCCTAATCCAATTAGAAATTGGAAAAACAAATCCTAAACCAATTGGAAATAGGAAAGTAGAACAAATCCCTTTACAATCAGGAAAGAAATAGGAAAACTATATATAACAACAAAGCAATATGCTCCATAGGCATAAACCAAAGCAACTACAAAGTAGAAAATAAGACCCGATTATTTCCTTTCTTCTTCCATCTAGTTCCTCAGTTAAAAGGTTTGACAATGATGTCCGCACCATGTAGTACTCTGCAGATGATGGACACACGAAGGGAGAAAGCCGAAAGAGAAAGAAAGAATGATAAGACGAACATGAGGAAGACAAGGGATAACAATGTAGACACTGATATTCTCTTTCCATGTCTTCTTCAACTGAAGAAACCGCGTCTCGATCAAGCGCTCTCTAGCAGACAAACGGAAAGCAGTTCCATCCAGATCGAGTTGCTATTCCGAGAGCTAATTTCGAATTGGGTTCCTCCTCCCTTGAAGACTCAAAACACTAGTGAGTGTGACGATCAGCATTGGCTCTTTGATAAGGCGCCGCTGAGAATGGGAGACACGAATCCAAAAACTAGCATTGATGGTTTATGCTATTATCCATATACAACAATATTTTAGTTATTAGTGCGAGAAACTCATGCCCTAAATTTGTGCACGTTTTGATGTAATCAGATTGCAGTATAATTATTCCACAATTCTTTTATATCTACATTGCAAAAATTGTTACAAAACTTTCTGTTTAGTTTGACCAAAAAAAAAATAAAACAAAAAACCTATTGTTAGTTACTGACATGATAAGTTCATCAGGAATACAAAACGAAGTATTTAAGTTAGAATCCATGAGCAGTGGCGAAGCCAAGATTTGCCGACGGAAGGGGCAAAATTCAAAAGAGTGTAAGGTTCAATCGAAGTGGTTGCTTTCACATTGGAGAGTGCAAAGTTTTGAGTCAATATTCATAGCAGAAAATAGTCTCTTCACCAAAGCGGTTGTAAGCAATAATTTCAAAGCCACAATGTAAGAAGCTTAAATTGGCTAGGATTAGATCCTAAAAAATGTTAGGCGCTAGTCAAACAGCGGACTGGGACCTAGTAGCTAGGTGCCTAGGCGAGATCTACGCAGGAGCCTGGATGGATTTAAATTATCATAAAATAAGCATTAAACAATATTTACATTATTTTTAAAAAGTAATACAATATTTATAAATAATGTGAGAGTTTAAGATAAATACGTTGGAAGATAAAATAAAAATACATACAAGAATAAAAAATAAAAAAAAAGGAGAGAAATGGGTTAATAAACCACAAAAAAGAATAATACTTGGTACTGATTGTTCAGTGCCCAACATTTACTAACCTCCTAATAGACCAATAAAATAAAGACACATGTCCATTTTCAAGTCCCTAACCATACAACCAAACATCCCTTATTTTGCAAACCAAACATTCTTCATCTCCCTCATCGAAAATTGAATCCCCTCTCATCTCTGGCGACACACCCACAATTCCTCTCTTCCTGGTGACCCAATCCCTATTTCCTGCGACCCACGAATCCCTCTTTTCTATAGAGACTGCGATTGTCATCCTCCATTATGGATGACAACGATGATTGCGACCAGTCATCATCGGATAGTCCCTCTCACCATTTGATCTCAACCTAGTGATGTTTGTGGTGACGAGCAAGATCCTGAAGCCACACTCTTTGCAAATTCAACCAAACTATCACCCTTCCTTTGCAAATTCGACCAAGACAGTGCACCAGCCAAAACCAATTTTTATAGGTGCCATGAATTCCGACGAGAGCGGAGGGGCTGAACTAGCGCTCCTAGACGTGTTTTCCGGCAAGGGCAATGACAGTCGCCACTCCTTACCCTCATGTAGCTTCGCCACTGTCCACAAGCAAACTAGAATCCACGAGAAACCTCAACTCATGAATTACAACCCTAAATGAAAAATGCGAAAATAACAAAATACTAAAAACATCCTCAAAACTAAATGTCGTTTGGGGGCTAGTAAACAATAAAATTTCGCCAAAAATGCCCATATGTAATTGCAAAATATTGTGTCTTATTCCTGGGGCTGTTCACTTAAAAAAGGCGAGTTATGTTCAAAATTGAACACCAGAGCCAAATCCGCAATATGTAGGCCTTGTTGTTGATTTACAGTTATCCAAGAACTCATGCATTTCTTTGTGCGCAAGCACATACACCGCACGAGCATCACATAAATATAAAACTAGTAGCATATATATATATATGTTGCTTTTGCATATGAGCCCCATCGGTATCACATAAATATAAAACTAGTAGCAACGATATATACATAGCTTTTGCATATGAGCCCCATCGGTTGACTGCAACATGAAAGACTTTCGTTATCCAACAACAAGAAGTCTTTCTAGGTCTTTCTCTACCTCTTTTGACTTGAGCCTGTCTCATAATTGCACTTTCTAACTGGAGCACTTTAGATCTTCGGTTCCGATTTTTTCTAATCTTATCTTCAATTGCGACCACTCCTACTTTATCTCGGATATCGTCGTTCTTAATCTTATCATTTCTCGTGTACCCACATATCCATCAACGCATTCTCATCTTAGCTACATTCATTTTTTGCATGTGTTATTTTTTGATTGCCTAACATTTTGTACCATAAAGCATTGATCATCTTATTGTCATCCTATAAAAAATTTCCCTTAACTTTTGTGGCATACGACAATCGCACAACAAAATTTTCCTTTATTGTCGTCTATAAAGTAATAGGGAAAACTTTCATCATCCAACAAGCTACAAAATTTCATTCTTCATTCGGTGATTATGTTGAACAACCGAGTTTCTTACAAGCTAATTAAACAAGCTACAAGTTTTCATCCTTTCACAGTATGACTTCTATAATTTATTTGATAAGCTTTTATGGGAAATGATTTTATTCGAAATGCTTTTATTATAAACATAAGTGCATGCCGTGATACTCAGCTTGAGTTCGAAAAAAATTAAACAAACCAAGTTTAAATACAGTGGTATACTCATACAGTGATATACTCAGTTCGACTCGGCTTGTTTACTACCCTAAACATAAATCAATGTATCGATGCATGCCGTTCGCTCCGCCTGGTAACTTGTGGAATGGTGTCGGTGGATACAACTGATTAAGGTAGGTTTGCTTTATTAATTAAGCAATTTAATTTTTAGGAAAACTAATAAAAATAGTTTGAAAACTTTGAGTTTTAACAATAAGGACAAAATAAATGGTAAAGTGAATAGTATCAGGATTGACTTTTTAATGTAAAAATATGGTTTTTCATTAAAGTGAATAGTACCGGGAGCTTTTTATTAAAGTTCCCTTTATTTTTCTCACGGTTTCTCTTTTTTTTTTCTTTTTTGTAAATATTTTTCTCATGGTATTTTACCAATTTTTGTTGCACAAACAATTTTGTTCTCAAAAATCCCAATCCAAATAGAAATTTGAAAAACAAATCCTAAACCAATCGGAAATAGGAAAGTAGACCAAATCCCTTTAGAATCAGGAAAGAAAATAGGAAACTATAAATAAACAACAAAGCAGTGTGCTCCAAAGCCATAAACCAAAGCACCTACAAAGTAGAAATTAAGACCGATTATTTTCTTTCTTGTTCCATCTAATTCCTCATTTAAAAGGTTTGACAATGATGTCCGCATCATGTACTACTCTGCAGATGATGAACACAAGAAAGGAGAAGGCCGAAAGAGAAAGAAAGAATGATAAGACGAGCAAGAGGAAGACAAGGGATAACAATCCTTTTATAGGTTGTCAACAGATTAATGAGTGAAGAGAAGATCAAGGGTCAAACTAAATGACATTTATCAATGGATTAATGAGTGAACTGTTATAGGTTGTTACACGTTAGCTGAGACAAGGAGGAGAGTTAGTTGTTTAGCTAAATATCAGCTAAGTAAGGGAGAAATATATAACAACCATTGTAATGATAGCTTGATCATCAAGAAATCAATATACAGTTTCACTTTCTCTCTCTTCTCTCTTTTAAGTTCTCTCTCTCTATTAATTCTGCATTCTATGAACCTCGCAAGAACAAATTCATCAATATTAACATGGTATCAAAGCAAGGGAATGCATTGGCGCTTCCGCACCTCTATTAAAAGCATTGCTTTCTTTATCTAATCCTTTGTTTTGCAAACTGCTATGATTTTACAAATTTGGGGTGTTCTCTTACCTCCGAGTTCTTCACGATTATGTTCTTCTTCGATTGCCCTCTACATGTTTGATCAAAAGTCTCAGTGAAAGTTTCTTCTCAAAAGTTCAACAATGGTGACTGCAAATCAATTAAGAATTGTTCTGTCTCCAATCCCAAACCTCATTCCTACAGTTTCTACTTCGGTTACAATGAAGTTGGATGACTCTAACTATCTTACTTGGAGTTTCCAGATCAAGTTGCTTCTTGAAAGCCATGTCATCATGGTGTTCGTTGATGGATCAAGAAAATGTCCTCCAAGATTTGATGATGATTCTGAAATTGAAGGAGTTGAAAAAGATGACTACTTGGTATGGAAAATGCATGATCGTGCGCTTATGCAACTGTTGATTGCAACATTGTCTACTATAGCAATGTCATTCATAATTGGCAGTTAAAGCTCTCATGAGATGTGGGTGAATCTCACTGGAAGATTCTCTATCGTCACTAAAGCTACAATCTTTCAGATGAAAATTGAGCTTCAGAACATAAAAAAAAAAGGGTATGAATTTGTGTCTAATTATCTCCAGAAGATCAAGGATGCAAGAGATCATCTTGTAGCTGCAGAACTAATGTTTGAAGATGATTATGTGATAATTTTTGCGCTGAATGGGCTTCTTGCAAAATTCAACACTTTCAGATGTGTTATAAGAGGAAGGGAAAATGGTATATCTCTCAAGGATTTCAGATCCCAATTACTTGCAGAAGAAGCTATCATTGGTCAGTCATTTAAATCTTCTTATGTTTTACCATTTGGAACTACAATGGTTGCTGGTACTTAGTTGAATAAGGGAAAATCATTGGTTCTTGATCAAGAAACATCACAGTCTACTGAAATAGGGTCTAGTTCTAGATCATCCAATCAAAGCTTTAACAATCACGCTGGTGGATCAAATACCACAGGATATAACTCTAGGAATGGGTCATTTAACAACTACAACAATTCATATCAAGGGTCCTACAACTATAGGGGATACAAGGGGAACGATTTTCGAGGAAAAGGAAGAGGCAGGTCGTATAAATATGGTCCAAGATCTTACAGTCCTCCACCAAATGGAAGCCTTGGTATTCTTGGTGCCCCAAAACCCTATCAATCAAACTATGCAGAACACCCTTCTAAGATCCCTATTTGCCAAATCTGCAACAAGAAAGGTCATGTTGCTGCTGATTGTTTTCAAAGGCATAATTCTTCACAGTCTAGTGCCAACATACCAATTCAATGTCAAATTTGCTAGAAATTTGGATATTCAGTTCTGCAATGCTATCACCAAGGCAACTTTGCATATCAAGGAAAACCACATGCACCAACACTCATTGTTATGCATGTTCAACATCAACATTCTGCACATAAGCAACAATTCTGTATTGCAGACACTGGAGCTACTTCTCACATGACCTCTGAGTTAGCTAATTTGGATCTAGCTACTCCATACCAAGGGAATGATACTATAACCACAGCAAGTGGTGCATGTTTGCACATTTCTCATATTGGCAAATCAACATTATATGTTTTTAGTAACACAATTGCATTGAAGAATGTTCTACATGTTCCAAAGATCAACACTTGTTATCCATTTATCAATTGTGTAAAAACAATAGATGTCGATTCATTTGTAATGATATTTTGTTCTGGGTTCAAGAAAAATCCACAGGGACAATCATAATCAAAAGGGTTGTGTAGAGAAGGCTATTATCCTATTCCTTTCAACACACCAAAGAAGCTGTCACCTGCATTACCTCATAAACACACATCACTTGACTAGGGCATACATCAAATGCCATTACTTCTGCCATTCTACATGAAAATAATATCACTGCATCACTTGATACATGTCAATCAATATGTACACCTTGTCTGGAAGGAAAGTTTACTAAGTTGCAGTTTAATTTTCCTGTAACCAAGTCTGTACAACCTCTAGAGGTCTTGCATAGTGATGTATGGGGGTCTGCCCCCTTGTTATCTCATGAAAGATTTAGGTATTATGTAACCTTCATAGATGAATGTGGTCGATATACATGGGTTTTCCCTTTACATAATAAATCATAAGTTTTTGCAACATTTTTACACTTTTATGCCTATTTTAGTACTCAATTTTCTGCATAACCAAAAAATTTACAAAGTGATGGTGGGGGTGAATGTGTAGGATCCAAGTTTCAACATTTCTTGTCATAAAAAGGCATGTTACATCATAGATCTTGTCCCCACACCCTAGAGCAAAACAGGTTGGCAGAATTGAAACATATACATGTTGTAGAAACTGCAATCACATTGCTTCAAATTGCAAGTTTGCCTGCTAAATTATGGTTCCATGCTTGTGCTGCAGCTACATATTTGATCAATAGAATGACATGTACTACTTTACAAATGAAATCCCCTTACCAGTTGTTGCTTAAACAGGTTCCAAACAGTAATCATTTGAAATTTTTTTTGTTGTGCATGCTTTCCACTACTTAAACCACACAACAGCTCTAAACTATAACTGAAAACAAAAACCTGTGTTTTTCTTGGTTATGCAGGTCATTATGAAGGTTTTCTTTGTCTAGATATTACAAATCAAAGAATATATATATCTAGGCATGTTTTGTTTGATGAAACAACTTTTCCATATCTTAGGACTACACAATTACCCAATTTAACACAGTCATCAACTGCAAGTATACATGAGCATTCATAAAGCCCTCCAACATCATCTATTTCATTAAATAATCAGGTAGTAGCACCTGCATCTCATAATCATTCATCAACATCTCAAACCACAGAGTTCTTGACCATGCATTCATCTAGTGCCTCAAATTCTTTAACAACATCTAAAGCTTTAGATTCCTTGAATACACTTGCATTTAGTGCCTCAGAGTTTATTCACTCACCTTCACAGAGGTCCAATGTAGTATAACGACCTCACTCTCCTACACAGTATCCCATCCAAGTCGATCCTGACTTTCAACATGAGCTGTTACATGTTGTATTGCCAATACCTTTGAATGTTCATGTCCAAAAATGGAATCATTAGGAAAAAAAAAAGAAAAAAAAAAGCTTTCTCAGCTTCTGTGAGCTATTCTCAGTCATCTGTCACAAAACCAAAAACCTTCAAAGCAACTTCAAAAATTTCAAAGTGGCAAGATGCCATGACAGAAGAAATTAATGCCTTACATACACAGAAGACTTGGTCTTTGGTTCCATTACCACCTGACAAGAACCTAGTTGGTTGTAAATGGTATACAAGATTAAGAAAGATGTAAATGGATCTGTTGCAAGGTACAAAGTAAGATTGGTGGCAAAGGGGTATAGTTAGGAAGAATGAATTGATTATGGAGAGACATTTAGCCCTGTGGTAAAGCCTACAACTAGCAAGATGAGGTGTATATAGAACAACCTCTAGGATTTCAAAGTTCAACACGTAGTTACACAAGTTTTTATATGGCCTTAAACATGCTCCTAAAGCTTGGAATGACAGGTTCACAAGATTTTTACTGCGTTTGGCGTTCAACGCTTCACAAGCTGATCATTCTCTGTTTGTTCAGCATTCATCCAAAGGCATTGTGATTGTACTTGATGCGTAAAATAAGTTAACACACAAAATTAAACCCTCTTTTTATCAAATGTAGTAAAGTATGTAAGTAGGGATCGTTCTAGGCCGGGGATTAGGAGGGATTGCTAAACACTTGAAAACTGACTTAAAAACATAAAAACAAAATTTAAAACACTAAACTAGACTCAAAGAATGCAAAACTATACTTTAAAATACTTAAACAAACATAAAACTCAAAACAGCAACCTAATGACTCAAAACTGCCTAAAAACCACTTTCTGGGCAGTTTTGAGAACCTAACAAGAACTTGGACGAAGTTGGATGAAAACTTGAATCAAAACACTTAGAAACACAAATCAAAACACTTTCTAACTAATCTAAGACTTCAAAATAAAGGGGGATTTGTTTTGGACGAAAATTGAAAACAAAACAGAAACTTTTAAAACAAAACAGATTGTAAAACGTTTTTGGATGAAAAGGATGGATAAAAGGCTAGTTAGGAGGTTCTTCTCCACACATGACACACTTGCAAACAAAATGATTTTCAGTTGTTCTTTCAATAAATTATGAAACTCAACACCCCAAGTTAATTAGATACGCTTAAATTAACCTTCAAGTTCTCCTTAAGTTAATGAATTGGATGGAAAAGCGCATACAACAATTCAAAGCATTCCTCAAAGGTTCCTTACGTGATGAGCACAATAAAGATACAATCAAGAATCATGAAGCACAATGAGAACTATAAGTGTTGACGAGGCATTCGTTACTATGATGAGCATGAAACTAGTGCCAAGAATTCATTCAACGCGATCGTTTTCAAGCGACCTTCACTACTTGTGATTATAAGATTGTAACTATTAGGTGAAACTCCCTCATAATCTAGCATCATATTCATGCATGAAAACTAAGCGTGCACTCTCAATCAACATACACAAATAAGTTATCAATCAAGTAGATGAACGAATTGAATCCGCAACTTATGAAATAACAACTGAATGTAATCAAATCATATTGCAAGCATGTACATGGTTTCGAATCACCCCCCAACTAAGGGGGTTTAGTTCCTCATTCTTGCAATACAAAGATACATAAAATTAGACATTAAAATCAAAGGAAAGAAAACACCTAAAATGCTCCAACTTGGAAAGCAAGTGCATCAATGGATCTCCCTTCCTCCTTGTTGCGGCATGAAGCTTGTGGACAGATTTTTGGGTGGATTTATGGTGTAGAATGGATGGGGAATGATATGGAGGGGTTTAGGGTGAGTGTGGAAGAGTGTTTGATGGTTGGAGGGTGGTGGAGAACTAGGCAAAGAGGGTGGAAGAAGGTGGAGTGGCTGTTATGTTTTCTAGGCACTAGAATGGTGTTTTTGGGGTGTTTTGCTTCCTAGGGTGTGTATGGACGAATTTCTGTGATAAAATGATGACTATGGGGGATTATTCTTTGGCCAAGGGGTGTAAACATGTATTTATAGGCCCCAAAAACCTTAGAAAATCAGGTTAGGCTAGGGATGAAATGCATGGCAAGTTGGTGTGTGTGGTGTGCAATGGTCCAAGGGTGAAAATGAAGTGATGATGCAAAGTGTGAAGGGTAAAATGGAGTGGTGTTGCAGCTAGGGAGCATGAATGATTGTGTACATTGCATAGAGATGGAAAGGGAGGTGAAATGTGTCAACAAATGGGTCAAAGGTGCAACAACATGTGTGACACATGCCATTGGATTCCAAATGTGAATGATGGAGCATCAATTGGTGCATGTAATGGATGTAAAGGTTGTCTAAAATCTAATGGGTGAAGGGAACAAGAGGTATCAAGCAATTGAGTGAAATAATTAAATGAATTAAAGCATGAAATCAGAAATTATGTAGGGGACAAGAGTGATCAAGCATGGCATGGGAATCCAAAGGGAATTCTATGTGTTTTGCATGGCAAGGAGTGTGCAACTTGGAGTGACAAATTTTTGGGCTGAATTCTTTATCTTTTGGACACTAATTCTTCACATTCTTGGCCTCTTTAGTTCTCAAATTCGTCCATCCACTTTGGCCCATGCATTTGCTATCCATTCCAAGCCCGAAACATGCTCCAAAGGCCTCCAAAATGCATCTTCTTGCATACTTTGTACTTAGAGTCTTTCACTTTGCATGTGGGCTTCTTTGCATGTGTATGAGTTGTCATTGTTTATCCTTGCAATTACACACACACACTTGCACACACATATGCCCAAAAACGTCCATCCTCATGCATGCAATCCAT